GCGGCTGGGCTTATTAGCCGTGGGCTTAATAACCGGCGACTGCTGTATTAATAAGATCCAGACCAGTCGGTCAAGATGAATAGTCAGGAGTAATTTCGCACTAAAAACTCCGGGGACTTTTTAATGCTGACTTCCGCGTGAAATAGTTTGAGGTGGTAGTAGACGTGTGCTTCTTGGCTTCCCCCATCCATCTGTACTCACTTGGGACTGGTGTGGAAACAGAGTAAATAAAATCAGAAGCTGAATCGGGCGCAGATGGCTGGCATGGCGTGAGCCGGTACCTACGCGTGCTCGGACAGAGGAAGCCCTGGATGCTATGTCGGGTAATTGGACTTTCTCGACACTAGATTTAGTCGCAGGATATTGATAGGCATTACTGATAGGCATAGGCATTATTGATAGGCACTAGTGATAGGCATTATCCACTATCCTCCTTATCTGGAGACGACTTCCTACGGGTATATTTACGTGCTCGTTACGTTAACAGTTCCTTCTGGACTACACGAACTAAAATCGCTAGCATCGCATCTATCACTCATGTTGCACTATTCCTGCTGCACGGTATTGCTATACAGCTGCCCCTTAGTACCATACTTGCAGTGTACCTATTCAGACAGATAACCTTCTGTAAATTCTAAACTAGAACTGGATACTAAAGACAGTCAAAATAGCCTGGAAAAATGGCAAATTCCCCTTTCTTACGACCGAAATGCATGGTAAATCTTCAAATATTATTGCACACACGTTTCTTTAACCCTTCAGTTTACTATAATGCCAATATAGGTTAGGACCTCATGTTAGCTTCAATTTTCCTACATGCACGTACAGGCCGTGTTGTAGTATACTAATTACTGGCCTTAATATAAATGATTACTGGAATTAGCACTCCTAGCATTGGCATACTATTTATAGCAGCAGTATCTTAGCCCTCGTAGTCTACACTTTAGGAAAACTGACATAATTTTGATGAATAGAGGTAGGGGGAGGGGGCTAAAAATCATGGCAAGCAATAACGTCCACCGAGCCTCAAACATCTACTTTAGTCGGAATATTATAAATTCAGGTCCCAACTCCTACTTGAGATCGAGGGAACACGGGCCAAGCGCTGACCCTAATCGGTGTCATTTCTGATCACTTATTAGCGTCAGTTATAGTACCAGCACTACTGTCACTCAGCTACACTGCTAGTAAGCAGCAGAAGTAGTAGTAGTAATAGTAGTAGTAGTAGTAGTAGTAGTAGTAGTAGTAATAGTA